CTAACAGCCCTCCCCTCCCATCCCTTCAGGACAAACACACCTTCGACTCGGAACGCGCTGACCCGCCGCCGCGCGCCGCCACCTCTGAGCCGCCGTCCGAAGTGTCTTCTCTGTCGTCGTTCGCGTCGGAGTCCGAGTCGTTGTCGCCTCTCGTTGTCGTCAAACGCGAGTCCGTTGTCCGCCGTCTTGACGTTCGTCACGCCTTGCGAACGGCGAACGGAAAGTTCCACAACCCGTGGTCCCTCTCCTGGGAGGCGCCCTCTCTCGCGCGCAATCTCCTGCGTCTCGGGCGCTCCGCTCACCTCCCGTCGCGCGCAGAACTCGACCGCCTTCTCCCCGTTTTGGAACCGGACTTCGCGTCCACTGCGCCGCCGCCCGACTCGACGGCCATCACGTGGTTGGGCCACTCGACGGTCCTCGTGCGGATGGACGGCGTGTCGGTGCTGACCGACCCAATGTTCTCCGACCGCGCCTCCCCCTCGCAAGCCGTTGGACCCAAACGCTACCGGCGCGCCCCCTGCAGTGTCCACGACCTGCCGCCCGATCTCGACGCTGTGGTCATCTCTCACGCCCACTACGACCACTTGGACAGGAACTCCGTTCTCGTGCTGAACGCGCGCTTCGGCGCTGATCTCCGATTCTTTGTTCCGCAAGGATTGGGTCTGTGGTCACGTGATTGCCTGAACTCTGACCTCAACTCTCTCTCTCTCCCTCTCAGGCCAATGGATGCGCGCTCTGGGCGTCGAGAACGTCGTCGAACTCGAGTGGTGGCAGGAGAGTCACGTGCCCGACAAGAGCGACGGTCTGTCAACCAATCACTGCTTCCCATAATAACCGCCTTTCCCTTCAGTGTCCTTCGTCTTCCTGCCGGCCAGTCACTGGAGTCGGCGCACTCTCAACGACGACAATCGCGTGCTGTGGGGCGGGTGGGCAGTCGTGGGGCCGACGCAGCGCTTCTTCTTCGCGGGCGACACCGGCTATTGCGACGCCTTCCGCCAAATCGGACGCCTTTACGGCCCCTTCAGCGCCGCCGCCATTCCCATCGGCGCGTATGAGCCGCGATCGCTTCTCCGCTGCCACGCCGTCGCCCCCGAAGAGGCCGTCGAAATCCACGAAGACATCGGTTCCGCCTTTTCGCTGGCCATTCATTGGGGAACATTCGCGCTGACGGACGAACACTATCTCGAGCCTCCGCGCAGACTCCGGGACGCCCTCGCGAGCGCACGACTTCCGGCCGAGTCGTTCGTAGCGTTCCTTCCGGGAGAAACTCGAGTCGTGTCGAGCGGCGGTCGAGTCGTGCGCTCGAGCTCTCAGCGACTCAAAGGTTTTGAATAAAAAGCTTTTATTTACAAACTGTTGATCACGTGTTCAGACGTGTCGTCCATTCGACGCGAACTGTCGGCCGAAAGCATAAGAATACCGCCGAAGACGTCCATCAGCTTCTCGGGCAACGACTCCTTCAGCTCGGAGGCCACCACTGCGGAGGCGGCGCCCACCGCGCGCACCTCCTCGCGCACGCCGCCGATGGCCGCCAACACCTGCGCGCGCAACGCCGTCTCGCAGTCCGCCAAATGCCGGCGCGCGCTCTCGCACTCCTCGCGCACCGATTCGCGCAACGAAACCAACTGCCGCTCCAGCGCCGCCTCCACGCCCGTCACTGCCGTCCGCGTGTCGCGCGCCTCCGCCAACGCCGCCTCCCGGTGCTCGCGCGCGCTCTCCTGCGCCGCCGTCCAATCAGAGCGCCAATCCTTGGCGGCGGCCGTCGCGTCCGTCACGTGACCCCCAATGCCCTCCATTTGGGCGCAGAGTTGAGTGAAGTGGGCGTTCCCTACGAGACACAGAGTGAAGGCGTGAGAGTCACGTGTCGTCGCACTTACCGGTCGTCTGATTGGTCGCCACGAGCGCAGTGTTGGCGCCAATCGTCTCGAGCAGTCGGTGACACGCGTCCAGCCGTTCGCACAACTCTTCCACTCGTTTCTGACTCTTGAGACCATTCCTCGAGATCTCTTTCAGCGAACAGTTGATCGCTTCGTCCAAAGGCTGTCTGTCGGCCAACGCCTTCAACAGCGCCTCCTCTTTGGCCAGAATCGCGTCCAACACGAGCGCCACCTTTCGGCCGTTGTCTGCGGGCAGAGAGAAAGAGAGTGAGAGGAGAGTGAAGACGGCTGACAGGCGTTACCGTCGATGTCCGACAGCTTTTCGATCATATTCTCGCTTCGGTCCACTTCTATGCTCTCGAAGCGCTTCTCCGAGCGAACGACGTCGAGATGGCGCCGACACTGTTCGTAGGAATACAGCTTAAGACCGCTGTCACACTCAAGACACGGCGCGTTGGCATCACATTTGATGGAGTGCTTCGAGTGGCGGAAACACACCTCAAGACAAACAAGCGTTCAGTTTGTGTACAAAAAGTCAACACAAATCGAGACTCACTTTCATCTCTCGGTTCGAGTCCTGAGTGTCGGCGCTATTGGGCGGACGGGCGGCGATCTTCGCCACGTAGTGGAAGACCATCTTCGCCTTATCGACAACATTGGGACCCGACATCACTTCTTCTGTAGACAAGTGGTCGCAGATGTCATCAAAAACAACACAAACTCTGTGTTTGGCCCACAGATGGCTTCACTCGAGTGTTGTTGTCATCGAAGGCTTGCGTTCAAAGACTCACTTTGACTGCCATCTAGTGATGGATCGCAAGTACAGCACAACTCCATTAGAGGGCGCTATGAGTGCAACGCTTTGACAGACTGTCAAAACAGTGAAGAGATGTCTCTTTACGACGACGTCCTGATCGCCGACTCCGACGACAACCAAAACGACGGTAAGAGACGACACGCTTCCCGTCCGCTGTCTCTCACTGTCTCTCTCTCTCATAGGATGGGCGCCGCAGACGTCCGGCCGCCGGCTTTTGGCGCAACACTTGCAGAACAAGACGAAAGCGAACCAAAGCAAAGCGAAACCCATTCGTCGCGAGCCGTCTTCGGCGCCCAAGCCGTTGGAGGTGCCGTTGGCCGCCATCGCGGCGATCGCTTCCATGCAATACGGGTCGAAGGGCTCGCTTTTGGGCGGCGAGTGGGCCGTCAATGAGGAGTACGACCCGATTTGGCCGAACGACTACGAGAAGGCGCGCGAAGACCGCCGCGAAAAGCGCCACAAAGAGCGCAAACCTGCGGCGAAGCGCGCGCTCGGACTCGACTACGATGACGACGACGACGACGACCCGTCGCCGCCGGAAGACGACAAGAGAGCGGTTCGCGTGGGAGCGGCCATCGGTTCGTCTTTGTTTGTCTTTCTTTGCCTCCCTTTCACTCTCTCTCTCTCTCTCTCTCTCTCATCGACAGCTCCGCCCCCTTCGCTGCTGGAAACGCCTCCTCCGTCTGCTGCGGGCGGCGCCTCCGTGGCGGCGAAAATAATGGCGCGAATGGGCTATAAGGAGGGCCAGGGGTTGGGTCGCGAGGAACAGGGCATCTCTTCGGCGCTGTCCGTCGAGAAGACGAGCAAAAGGGGCGGAGTCATTGTGGCCGAGACTCCCGTGACGTCACCGGTCGAGTCGATCACCGAAATCATGAAGACGCCCTCCAAAGTGGTGCAGTTGCGCAATATGGTGGCGTCCGGCGAAGTGGACGACCTTCTGGAGGACGAGACCAAAGAGGAGTGCGGCAAATACGGCGAAGTGGTGCGAGTCGTCATCTTCGAGGTGACGGAAGCGGACGAAGAGTTTCCGGTTCGCATTTTCGTCGAATTCCGTCGAATGGAGTCCGCGATCAAAGGTTTGCGTCAAAGAGACGCTCAAAGAGTCGCTAACTCTCTCTCTCACTCTTAGCTGTCGTCGATCTGAACGGCCGTTATTTCGGCGGACGAGTGGTTCGCGCGAACTTCTTCGACGTCGAAAAGTTCAAAAGATTGGAATTAAAGGAATAAAAGCTTTTTATTAGTGATTGTCTTGAGTTCGTCGCAAACACTGCTGTCGCGCCACTTTCCTCTGCAGACGACACGAATGACGTCTTAACAGACACTCCGACGCGTGCGTCGTTCCGTCGGAAGCGCTGCCAAACAAAGCGTTAGATTGAGGTCTCGGACCGGAAGTCAAGACTCACCAAACGCGCGGCGCTTCCTCTCCGTCGTCGCACTTCTCGGCGCAGACGCACAGCGTTTCGTTGGCCGACGTCTGTCGACAGGTGGCGCCGAAGTCGCAGCGCCGATGAGCGCAGGACCCGCTTTCGGGAAGAGCCAGCGCGCGGTGGACACAGCCGTCGACCCCTAAGACACTGTTGGGCTCGCATTCGTTGCATTTGACGCCCGAAACGCCGACTTTGCAGACACAGCGACCTTCGAGAGAGAGAGAGTGAGTTCTGTCCGCCAGAGACCGCACTTACCGGTCGTCTGTTCGCAATCGGAGCGAACGGAACCAAAAGCATCGCAATTGCAGTCTTTTTGGGGATTTATCGGAACAACAGATTAATATATGGTTTATAAACTTCTCGCCAAAACTCTCGGCACAAAACTTTATAAAATCTAG